TGTGTACAGACCTCACTGCGTTCGGTCTGTACTCACGACCTCGGTCAAGATTCTCCCATACAGACCTCCTGCTCGGTTAATAAGAGCTAATTATTAACCTCAGGCTCAGTGAACATTGGTGAGTATTCACCTTTGGCGAATAATTGTTAAGTACTTTAATTTCTAAGATGTAAGGTCCTGCGAAAGCTTACATGTCTACTTCTTAGATCTGCGCAATGAGTATATTACATGTATAAGCTTAATTTTCTTCCAGCTGAGCCATGCATCTGAAACAGTTAAAAATTGTGTTTGTTTCGACTTGCCAAAATACATATAGTCAGGCCCAGGTTGTTCAACAGGTGGGTGTTACTATCCTGGGTATAGCATGGTTTCTTTTGTTGACAATTATCCAATGGATAGCAATTTATCCGGTGGATAGCGTTATCCAGCCTTCGAAAAACTGGGGCCAGTAATTTAAACCTGAAATCGATCTGTGTTTTTTGCCAGTACATTAATAACCTGTGAACCTTGTACTCACGTGTTCAGCACTTATTCTGTAAATGTGGGAACAGTCTTTTTCCGAACATTCCGATATTCGAGTCTTGTCTTAGTCTTTAGTATTAAGACTTACATGTAAACTTAACTTAGCTTGAGCTTGCTTATTTCGGTACAACAGGGGTCGTTTTGATGGCAAGTTTATCTCTTACTTGAAAAGATTGCTGGACATTAATGAATTGCCTAAAAAAAGGTAAAATCTAGTTCCTTTAAGAAACCTCGAGCATGATTCTTCATACATACAGTAAGCTTATGTTTTAGTACCTGTTGTTTCCTCCGTCCCCTGTACGTCTCGATGCGTGACAGCTCGCGACTGACTCAGCTGGGACAGTTTGAAGAAGATGAAGCAGGCAACAGCGAGCGAAATAGCTATTCCTACATTTGTGTAGTTAACTCGCATGATCTTCATACGAGTAAGAAGCTTCGCGTAATGACGGGTTAGACTGCAGGTTGTAAACTAACGAATATCTCTGCCAAATCTTAGAACACCAACAAAAATAAAACCACAGGTGGAAAGAGTTCAAGTCATTCCTCACGTTCACTCATGCAGTGTTTTTTAGGGCTCTGGAAACGAGTTATTTATTGGCTCGCAGGGCACTATGGGTAGTGCCAGGGCCCATGGTTTTTCGTTCTTTCTTTTTCTTTCTTTTTGTTTTGTTTTGTGTTTGATTGTCTTTATTTTCCTTACTAGACATTTTGTAATGATAAAATAACCTTAAAGTGGGTAGTCTCCGCGCTTTTCTCCTCTTTTATTTTTCTTGTTCTTTTCACTTGGTTGCGTGACTGTATTTGCAAACGTCTCAGGAGAGAATGCGAAAACAAGTCTAATTTTGGTACTGCGGTCTAAAATCATCAAGAGAGTCTTAGCGGGGGCCGGGGATCCTGGGGTGTCGGTGACCCCCTCTTTTGTAAGCCTTCTTTAAGCAAACAACCTAAAACACGGCGTGGAGGTCGACATGACAATCCGGTGAGTACCCTCAATTTGACACAGTGTGAACCCCCTTTAAAAAATCCTGGCTCAGCCACTGATCATGATTCACAACGAATTGAGCGAAAGCAAGGAGGAAACTCTATCTTTGAGCTCCTCCTGCAATCTTTGCTTTCTCTCTTTCACCTCCCATCCCACCCCCTACCCCCTCGTTCCCCTACAAAGAGCGTCTTTGTACCAGGCTCATCCTAAATATCATCAAAGACAAAATTGGACGACGCAAGGTCCCATTTCGCAAAAACACAGGTGTTAAGAGTTCATCACTCACGCCATGTTTAGGGCTTTGGGAGCGAGTTATTGGCTCGCAGGGCACTATGGGTAGTGCCAGGGCCCATGGTTTTTCGTTCTTTCTTTTTCTTTCTTTTTGTTTTGTTTTGTGNCCCCCCCCCCTCCCCCCAACTTTCCTTCCAAAGAGCCTCTTCGTATGACGGTTATAGACTTATCGTAAATATCCTATTCAAAGACAACATTGGACGACGCAAGGCCCCGTTTCCCTTTAACAGAAAAAGATGCTTCATCCATATATCTTTTTTGTTATCTAAATGTTGTTATTTTGAAATCTCTAGTTGAATAGTGAGTTAGCTTGTTTTGTCCTTGAAAGCAACTGCTATTGAAAAACAGATGTAAAGTCATTCGGTCAGTTGCAGTTTTAAGTCCGACCGGCAGCTAGCCTGTGAACGCAGACGTATTTCAGCATTGTGAATGAAATTTTGCTTTTCTGAGATGCAACCCTGGCTTTAAGGGTCGATAGAGATTTTCGGTTGCAGTCTTATAAAACAAGAGTTATTAAAAGCAAGCTAATTTTCCTGCTTTTAACAAGAAAAATAGCAACAGTTAACAATATCATACTTCTTCTCAAAACCCAAAATAAATAGAGAGTAACACTGAACAAGCCAATTATCAATATCCAATATTAAGGCAACCTTATGTTGTTTTAGCCGTACCGGCGTTAATTTATAAAAGACCAACACCGACATTGCTCAAAAGATTTCTGGAAAACTAACTAAAACACAGAAATTGTTACCGAGAGAGGAATTAATTGTCGAACATTCAAATGGTAAATCTAAAATAAATCAAGGATTAAAAAATCTATTGGGACATCAGTTATAACATTCAAAATCAGTGCCACTAAGTCTGTCATGAAGCTAGTAGATTTTAAGTATGCAATAATCAGCTTAAATGATCTTTCAAATACTTAATTTTCCGACAACAAAAACTTAGGCGGATGTCGTTTAAGTATTAAAAACAAGGAATATTTTTGTTTTCTGCCCTGAATCGTTTGAGACACAATATCTCATTTTACTGAGCGATTTAAGATTGTGAAACCTTAATTAAAAATTTGGTAGCTCTCAAATAGCCAAGCTAGTAAATAAAAATTAAATGCTCATTTTCATAATCAGGTTCTTTCAAAATTAATTGTCGTCCGTGTTACCCAGGTTAGAATCGATTTAATGAGATATTATCCAATTCATAAGACAGTCAGTGATTAAAATAGATAACACTAAGCAACCTGTCTTTTTATGAAATGAAAACATGTTAAGCTGCAACAGAAAATCGATTAAATTTCGTATCGCGTAGAGCTTTTTTTAATTAATATTGAGAATCAATTTTACATACGCAATGATTAGTTCCATGTGTGTCGATACAATACATCACAAAAGATTCTCTTAATTTCCTGTTTCACCCACTGCAGATTCATAGATAGCTCAGTTCAAGCGGCTCATTTTAAGATCTACAGATATACTTGGGAAATACCCTTCTTTGGCACGACACCATTTCATTTTTTTTACAATGTATCGTAAGCTGATAAGGGCCGTAGTTCGCGACCGAGCTTTATTCAAGAATTATTTCACGAGCGCGCGTTGGATATGAGATGGTAGATAGCCAACAAGCGCGAGTGGAATAGTTGTTTTATAAAAAACGCCCCCAATATATATATATGAAAAAGAAACTAAAATATAATAAGAATACAAACGCCCCAAAAACATTGCGCCTACGCTTATCCAACACCGTATTTGTAGAGCATGGTTTAATGGCTCATATACCATGATGGCTAAGCCAATGAAAACACAAAAATTGCATTATCCGATGATCCAGTTCTTAATAATAGGTATTAAACATCTTTCTTGATTTTGGGAAAATACATTACGTTGGAACAAAACGCTGCCGGCTGAATTAAATTTCGTGACAATATGCTGAGGATAGCATAATTATATTAGCGATAGGTTTATGGCTTTCAGCGTGTTTCATTGCCACTTCCAAAAGATACTCTTTTCAATTGTTTCTTGCAAAATGGAAATCTCCACCTTCAAATAATGTTTAATCCAGCTTACAAGCAAAGGACAACATCCCAGTTAAGTGCTGAGTGACCAATTGTATTTGAATAACGAGTCGAATAAGGTCAGATTCAGCAGAAGTGATACGACGGCAGAGTAAACGATTTTCTTTTTTGACAGGAAAAGTTATCAGAGGAAGAGATACAACGCAAAATGAATGGACATTTTTCGCAGCAAATTTAAACTTTACCATAACCATTTCCTTAGCCCCCAACTCCGCTGAAATAAAAAAATATATAACAAAGAAAAAAATTCTCAAAATGTTCATGACATGTACAATAAAACATATAGTATCACAAGGAAATACTGAATTTATTCCAATGATCTCCTACCGACGGTTTATTCAGTATACTGGGAGACGATGTATTAAATTATACTGTGCGCACGGTGTGTACAGTTATGTTTTAATTCAATTTTTCTCCCGTTAGGCGCTTGTGAATAAGTAAAAATGCGCTTAGAATTAGCGTTCGAAACATCTGATAATGTTAATGCTTTTTAATATCATTAGATGAAACAATGGAGAAAGGAACTCCCCCCCCCCCCCTAAAAAAAAAAATAATAATAATTAAAAGAGAGTGTTCAGATGAACTTGAGTAACTGTTCATGTGCACGTTCGTTTAGTAAAAGTGATACTTGGCTGTATGGCAGATCGAGTGAAAACTGTGAGATAACTTCTCTACAGTTCCCCTGCCCTCCTAAGAGCACATGTGTTTGTCTTGCTCTTATTAAAAGCAAACATTTCGAAATCGTTTTGAGTGGGGCACTTTTCGCCAGCGCAAACAAATCAGTTCGGCACTCCTTTAATTTGGAATTGGAAGCAAATTGTTTAAACAAAACTGAACAAATTAAAACCGATACAACATTTCGGGACTGGATTTTAATCTTGTTTCGTGCCATAATGTCCAACGTAATCGATTTTAAATGTCTAAATTAGACATTGAACGTGTTGAAAATACAGGTAAACAACTTTTTGTGTAAACAACGTGTCTCAGCTTTTAAAACAGAAGCCATACTTGCAGTCAGTCACTTTCCTTTGGCCCACGGGCAAGAGAGGGAAGACCTCGCAGAAGAAACGAGGTAGGTTGTACATATTATTTTTCTCTTATATTTTAGTAACTGGAACATAAAATCGTCTGCGAAGATCATTTTTTAGTGTCTATTTTATGTGACACGCGGGCCTTTTTCCTATATTTTCTCGCTAAGCAGTAACTATTTGGGTCAAAGAGATTGTTGGTTCTAAATGTATTCTATGCTGAGTTTACTTCAAGTATGAACAATTATCTACTTAACTCTAACATTTTTAGTGTTCAGAAGTTACAAAAAGGCTTTAACTTTTTTCCTTGACTTAAGACGAGCGAATATTAGTTGCTGAGATATTTTTTTAAACGACCTTTGACAAACAGGATAATGGACATGGAAAACTTAACAGTCAGTTTACTTTCAGCTATTTTATGTGGTTTTAATTTTTCTAGTTTTCGCTGCGTCGTGGAAGATGTAGCTTAGTTCTTTTCAGCTGTACTCTGAATACATGAAACGACAAGGAAAGCATGAAAGCTTACCTTTTTGCATCAGACTTCTCCGATAGGAGTACTTTAAAGTCTAACTTTAACTCCTTAATATTAACTTTCTTTAATTCTTATATAGTTTTTTAAACTAATGAAAACGAATACACCAAAGGTAGTCTTCCCAAAAGGAGGATGACAAAGTAATTTCTATGCAATTGATTCTTTCCCCTAATTACGTTTTTTTCTCCAGAGAAACTAACTTTTTTATTGGTTTTGTCGGGTCCTTTGAAAGGTAATCTGGCAGAATCAAAGTTGGATAATTAAAATCAATAGACAAATAATTCGTAATTCAAGACAGTTTAGTTAACAAACACACGGGATAAACATCAAGAAGGAGAAGATCAAGGTAAGAAGTGAATCCCCCGTACAGGCCTTATACCCAAGGTAATCCCTCTTGAAGGATCTATGTCACGGTTCGCTCATCTTAAAAAGTTTAGCCTAAATTTTTCAACTTCGTCGTTTGTAATCCGTGTTTATCTTCTCCATCCTTAACCGTCCTTGTTCCTTTACGGTTTATTATTATTTCGTTGGTGTTTTTCTATCTAAGTAAACTACTATTTCCTGCAGGTTTCCTTCAATTTAAAGGTAATTTTGCGCGAGGCCGAAATAACTCAAAATATCCGGCGTAACTAAGCTCCTTTAGTTATTTTTAGACATGGTACTCAGTTCTTCCACGACTGTTACTTAACGGCAGAAAATGTGGTAAAAAAAGTTATTTTATACGTTTTGATTTTCAACAGACTTTTCATAGCACAGGTCTTTACTGCACTCTTGGCTGTTTTGAGCGTCTGGATTTTCGTCCTTGACAATGTCGTTGCTGCTTAAACTCCCATTTTTTGTGTGGCGGGGAGCGTCTGTCTGCACTTTCGACCATCTGTTCGTTTGGTTACGTTGTGTTTGGGCGTTCGTTTGCTTTGCGTTCGTTTGGCTGCTCAATCCTCCGCCGTTCATTCAGTTTTTTAGTGTTGTTTGAGCAGGGGATATCTGACTCTTGTCTAAACTCCTACTAAAGTTCTGAAATGTATTAAAGCATAGAACCTTTGCTTCTTTGCATTCTCGGATATCGAAATTACAAAGAAGGCATCCTCATACCGTTAGATGTTTTCCCTCGCTTAGTAGACAGGACAGAAAAATTAATCCCTCACGAAAACATCCACACGACGCGCTAGTAACATCCGCGGAAGAACTAGGTAATATGTCTAAAAATAACTTAAGAGGGATAACCTTGGGTAAAACATTTCTCCGCATATCTTGCATAAGAAAAAAATGCCGTGACCTGAATCTTGGTACTGAAAACCAGCCATATTTTTTTTTATCAGTCATTCGGAATGTAATGCTGTAAGATATTATTGTTTCCATTATAAAATGAAGACTTCTTCGATAAAATCAGTTATCTTTTTAAAGAGGGGCAAATAAGTACAGCATTAATATATGTAATACAATTTGCTTCCTATTCATCTTTTAGCAGATTGCTTGACTGAGGCCAAGATGTGGTTTCCTCTTGTCGTGGTTGTTCTTAACATACTTCTTGTTCAAGGAAAAAGAGGTTTCCAAACATTTGACATTTCTGTATATCACCGATCTCTCAATTCTTGCACTGCAACTATTCATAGCAGCTTCGAGTAGTTCATTCTTCGAAGAGGGTAGCAAAGGGTTTACGGATGACACGTGATTAAGGCAAAAATTAGCCACGCGCCGGTTAAAAGCATCCAAAAGTCATACATGATTCTTGTAGTTATGCAAACATCATTGTTAAAAAGCAGCTAAAAAAATCAACAAAAAACGCGAAACGTAAATTTTGTTAAAATACGCAAAACGGAATCAGTACCACCCCTTCCCCACCTTGCCACCCCCTCCGAATCGATCGATTGGTTCCATTCCTTCAGTCTAGTCCAGTCCAGTAGAAGCCTGATTTTTCAAAGGCCTGGTTACAACGCACAACATGGCGGCAGGTCACTTGGCTCCTCGTTGTTAAAACAAAAAGAAGAAAATTTGAAAATTTCAGCAAGCGTTCCCGGTGATTGGAACACCGAACTGAAAAAGGAAAGAATCATTTGCTACCAAACTTCGGTTCTAGACTGGAATGGGTCAAATATGTGTAGCTCATCCAGAGATTTTATAATCGCTCGCACTCCTAATCGTATCTCCGAAACGGGGAAAAACAATTAGGATATTTAGGTACATTTCCCCTCGTTTATATTCAGTTCCTTGCCCTGGTGGCACTAAGGTTTTAACAAAAAGTCAGCTCCTGGGCTGTGCGGTCTCTTAGAGGAGGCACTGCTGTCGAAGAAGCGAAGGGGAAAGGGTTGAGGCTTGGTAAGGTTGAAGTAAGGTTAAGGAATTTTGTCTTTTAAAAATGTTTAGGTGTATATTTCTTGCTTTTTGAGATTTTGGAAGAGGGAGGGAGGGTTATGTATTGCTTTTTCTTAAGGGCGAGTGCTCCCACCCCTCCTCGTTGCTAATATTTTATATCAGTTATGAAATTTGGCTTTTTTTTTCAGGTCCAAACGTTCTCCCTCATACAAAATGTGAACGTACATGGGAAAAAGTAGGATGCTTCAAAGACAACACAAAGAATGGGAAGCGAACTCTTCCAGAGCTCTTAGTAAATGACAGAGATCCAAGAAGTGATGCCTATGATGGACACAGGATTGATTGGCATGCATGGGAGGAGTCAATGCTCAGGTACATTTGCCTGCTTCTCAGATAACATGCATTTCTTAATATTATTTTTTTCAGATCAGGTAAACGACCATATTTTTGTAGTTAAAGAGAAGAGGGTTATTAAACAATGGGTTAATCCCAAGATTGGGACCATGAGGTTGTCAAATAAATGTTAAATAAACAGCCCTGGCATTTACAATTTCAATGGTTATTTAAGGTATGCTTGGAAGATCTTCACTGCAGAACAGGGGTTTGGAGAATCAAGAAATCAGATTCAGATTTCTGAAAATTCAATTCCCCCTCCCCCAACACCAACATGTTTTTATAGCAAGAAAACTAATAACGAACTAAATGATGATATTTAGAAAGGCATACTACAGTGAAACTTCTATTAAGCATACACCCTCGAGACCTTCCCAAGTATCCATTTAATAGAGGATGTCCACTAACAATTGGACAATGTTTGTTAACGATTAAAATGCAGCAGTTCCTCTGTATTATAATAAAGTTCCAGGTTATTAATGAGGCTATCCAGAGTTCAAGTTCATTAGCTTTCTTTACCAACCATAATCTGTTTGTACTAATGCCCTTTCAATACTGCAACGATAATACGGCCCGTACATTTAGTTGATTATTCAATCAACTATTTCAAGGACATAATCCAATACCACATTGTCAATTCAGTATGGTGTCCGCTTAATAGAGGTTTTAACAATAGAAATCAGCCAAATATGATTTGTTTTAGTGTCCATGTCCACTTAATAGAGGTGTCTGTATAGGGGTTTGTTATAAAGGGAAATAATATGTTAATTTCGGGAGCAGGCTAAGTGTCCACTTAAAAATAGTGGGCATCTGCTTAATTGGGGCTCCGCTTGATCATGATAGAGGTATAATGATATCAGCCTTAGGTGATTTCCTTGCAGGTCCTCTATGCAGAACGAACTAAAATTTGGAAACGTTGGTTTTCCAGGAAGAGTTGGGGGGTGGGGGGAGTGATTTGGGAATATTTAAGTCCTGAAAATGTTCCAGGCATTTTGCACGGCTTTCAAACATTTTCATCTCCCTTTCATAATTCATTCCCATCAGTCTTGCCTGCCGCTGTGCAAATGCCACTCTTGGAAAAGGCTGGAAAGTATTTGGATTGCAATTCTATGGAGAATGCTGGAGTGGAGAGAATGGTGAGACCACATTCAACAAATATGGAGAGGCCCAGCCATCAAAGTGTCTCCAAGAGCTGGTTAAACCAATCCTGCCTTGTGATATCAATAAAGAAATGGAATGTGTTGGAGCTCAAAGTACTAACTACATCTACCGACTGAAGGACTGTAAGTATATCAATAATTTTATTGTCAGTTATATTGTTTGCAGTATTTATAAAGATTTTTGTGAGTTTTAACTGGAATATTTTATCTAGAATCTTCCATCCTTGTTTTCTGAAATGCGCCAAAAGCACTTTTCTAGTAAATATTGAACCATACTTCATATGTGTCAAGGGCCATTGAGTTGAGTGATTATGTTTTTATCAAGGTTTGGTAATAGGTAGACTAAATCTCTTTGTTTATGGAGGGGAAGGACATAACACTCTTTTTATTAGAAACTGAAAGTTCTATGACCATTACATTTTTAAAATTAAGCACATGTAATACTCATTTGGTTTTTTTCTAAGGTATTAAAATAACACCAACAGGGTACCAGCAAAGGAGAAGTAGTACTGTAGTGGATTTAGCCTATTATTTTAAGATATCCCATCCAAGATGTTGCTCTTTTAAATTGTGTGCACTAGTTACTCGGTTTTGAGGTCCTATAGCGAGTTTTCGAAATATGGGATATTTAGGTAAACAACAATAACAACCAAATTAACTGGATACTGGTTGTTTAGGCCAGGAAAAATTAATGGGATACATGGGATATTTAGCACACATATCGTGGAATATTGAGTAGGAAATTATTAATGTTCGAGAGATTAAATTCTTTAGCGGGATTCAGGAATTTTCGGAATTCACAGGATATGGGCTACTCAGAACTCCCACCCCCCACCCCCCTTTATGGGGCCAAAATGTTTTAATCCACAGTTACAGGGAATTTAGAGTTTTAAATATCTCATGTGTGAACTTCTAACTGCTAAGGCACACCATTGAAATGTCATTTGTCTGTTTGTAACTGTAGTAAAACCAGCTGATGTGAATGGCGGTTACTCCATGTGGTCTCAGTGGAACGAATGCAGCGTTAGTTGTGGAGGTGGAACTAGAGCGCGAGAAAGAACCTGTACTGACCCTCCCCCTGTGGGAAATGGAAAAGGATGCGAACATCTGGGTAAACCAGAGGAAGTGGAGAACTGTAATGAGGATCCGTGTCTTGACCGTAAGTAAGCTTCCTCTCGTAGTTAAATCAGGACTGCTCTTTAAACGAAAGTTGCAAAAGTAACGATTCCACGAAAGCATTTAAAAACGGTTAAATCTGCGTCCAGCCAAGTGATCCATGCCGCGGAGCTTATTCTGGTTTCTGTAGCATTAAACGTCTAAGGGTATCTCTACTCTCTAGAGTAACCTGAAGTNCCAAGCACATCAGAAAACACCCTAATCACAAGTTCTCGTGGGAAGTTTTAACCACTGCCCATTCATGGTTAAAAAGGAGAATAAAAGAAGCGTTCTACATCGCGCGCTTCCGTCCAGAGCTAAACAAACAAGTGCAATCACTGGACCTCACCTTGTTCCCTATGGGAACAGGTATTACATAACTGGCGTTACCTGAACTATAAGAACACTGAGCGTATGCATATTATTTCACTCTGATGATGATCAAACGGATCGAAAACGTTAAGACTCAATTTTAACAGCTTTTTACCTTAAAGTTGTATATTTTACTTTTGTCGGCGAAATGTATATATGTAATTTAATTCATTACAAGAAACGATGTAAATAACAGATACAGCTAACTGAATCAAAATAACGATCTGATGTTTGTATGAGATAGACCTTATTACAAGGACAATCTTATTACTCATTACTCTGTTTAGTGTGATATGGATTCTTTATAGTAAGGTTAATTTACGTGTACATTTAGAACAATTACATTATATAGAGTTGAACCAGATCAACTTTTGTAAACGTTTAGCTTCCAAAAAACTGGCCACTCTCAGGTAGCGACCCTTGGAGCGTAGCGATAGTGAAACGCTGCTAAATCCGGAAGTCACGAGAACACGAATCACGGGGAGACGTGCGTGAAGAAAAATGCGCCACCCCTCACGTGTTCTCCTTCCACGCACAGCTCCATCACCCGGCTACTGGCTCGTTTTATTTTCTTTTGCATCTGCTAAGTAACTCACTCTTGTGTATATGTTTTCAACAGCTTGTATGAAATCACTGGACGTCGGTCTTGTAATCGATGGCTCAATCAGCGTCGGCAGCGACAACTTTAAGAAAAGTCTAGAATTCCTGTCGGAACTTGTCGGTCATTTATCTGTGTCCCCGCAAGGTACGCACGTCGGAGCTATCGTTTACGGTTCAACAGCAACTGTGAAATTCAACCTGGCAAAATCCGAATACCACACTCTCTCCAAACTGCAGGCTGCTATCAAGGCGTTTGATTTCCCCGGCGGAGGGACTAGAACCGACGTGGCGATGCAACTGGCAGCCAGTGACATCTTTAGCCCTGCTGTTGGTGACAGAGTGGATGCTGGGAACGTTCTTGTAGTGCTTACAGATGGAACGACCAATGGAGGNAGTGATGATGAACTTCTGGCGATTGCTGCCGGCAACGCGCAGTATGTGATACATGCTAACGATTTTGATGACCTGAGGAAAAGTCTGCAACAAATCCTAACGAAATCTTGTCAAGGTAAACGCAGTGGAAATGTTTTGGGAAAATCTGACCATCGAAGTCGTCCTCAAGCAGTTTTTGCAAAAGATGCATTCCCATTAATCGCAATCTTCAATTGTCGTCCTTAGTTGTCGTTCTTTCTGTGGAATGAATTCCTTCATTTCCGTGAAATACCACCTTTTTTGCGCGTGGTTAGGGCTTACGTATCTTCGTGGCTCGAAGGAATAGAGCGTTTTCACATGACGTCATGGCAGCCATATTGGTGTTACAAAACAATGAAACGGCGGCCATGTTTGTGTACCAAACCAATCCTTTGGGAGTTGAATTCTTTTTTAATGTAAACACTCCCTTTTGTTCCAATAAATTTGTATGGATGCTGGCCACGTGAGTGAAAACGCTCTATAATCATTTTGCCCCGCGTATTTTCAATTTGCTTATAAGGGCGAACACTAAGTTAAATGCTAAATAAATCAATCTAATTCATAGCCCAGTCTTAATTCAGTTTTCCATCACACCAGTTTCTTCTTTCACAAATAAAAGCGGCCGACTTGCTTCATTGACTTGAGTCACAAACTTTGTCATTCAGTCGTAATTCAGTCGTAATGTAAAACGTCAGATTAAAAACTGATATTTCCTGCACTCAGTGGGAAAATCCTAATCCGTTACATTGACTTGACCAGAATCAAATCAAATCAAGACTTTATTTATCCACGGTAAAGACTAAAGCTATAAGCTTATGGGGCCGTGCACTAAAATAAAAGAAAGAAATAATAGATACCGTAAACTACTATTATTACAATTAATTCAAAAATATGTTCTAAAAAATCATACAATTAAACCCTCTATCTACAATTACTAAATCTTCTTTTTGACCATTTCCACCCTCCCCTAATCTATTTAGAATACTACCTCGACTGCGAGAATACAAATGTACAGCTTTGTAGTGACTGCCCCTACCACGGCGAGCTTTTGAGTCCCAAACAAGACCTCGCTTTGCCAATCGAAAAAGTTAACTTTGAATTCCTTTAACTCTCTGATCAGGCGCGGGAGATGTGGATGGAGCCTGGTCTGAGTGGGCAAGCTGGACCCAGTGCTCCAAGACGTGTGGCGGGGGAATAAGAGTTCGCGAACGATCCTGCACCAATCCTCCACCGAAGGGTAACGGACAGAGTTGCGTGGGAGAAGTGGAGGAGACTGGGGCGTGTTCTGAGAACCCGTGCCCTAAACGTAAGTCTCCGAAGAGAGGGATAAGTTTTCTCCAGTGAAATAATTAGTTTCCTAATTAGTCAGCTTCTGTAAAATACTTTGTACGGTTTATTTATTTATTTTTTTTTTTACATGTAGAGCTGATGCTCGCGCTTGCCTGTTTAAAGTTAGAAATTGTTTTTGTCGTCAACTGTATTATATGTGTGAACAATATTTCCGTTACCGTAGGGGTGGAGCTTCACCATTTTTGATAAAGATGAAAATCTGTTGAAAGATATATAGATACAAAGCTTCAGTGAGCACTCTTCTTTATAAATATGTATATTGCACCACTGGTTATCATAGAAATTAGTGTTTGGAGTTAAAATCGTGGAGCAAACTGCTGCGGTGTAGATAGACGCCCTAAAAGGCAGTCATGTTAAAGTTGTTGCGAGTGACAGGACACATGTCCCACTACGACACATCTTGGTCAGACAAAACAAATTGTGGTCGGACATAACCAAAATAAGTAAGACTTACTCACGGTAGATTTTTATTCATCCTTACCGTAAAATGATGTACGAAAAAATTGTGCGAACATCATGTCTTACCACAGTTGGGATTTCGTCGGACGTGAACAAATTTTGGTCGGCCAATGTCCGATGACCGACTGTTATTTGCAGCCCTGGACTCATTGGGGTTATAAGCTTTTCAAAAAGCTTCTGAAAGTAAGCGGATGAAACCATCATCCATCGGTATAAAAAATGTGTTTAATGTTGTTGGGAACACGAAACATTAGGCATAAGCAAGAAAACAAGTACGCGAAGCACAAAGGTTATTCTATGAACTTTCCTCATAATGGCAAAGACCGCACAAAGTAAAGGAGGGCTTACATCTAATGGAACTTATCACAGGAACAGATTTTTGTTTACATGTAAGTGGGCCTATAACCGTGAGGCTTTTGAACGGAGGGGGCTTATAGGCGGAATTTTACCGTGTATTGCTTATTTTTTGCAATCGGTGTGAAATCATTTGATATGTGTCTGACAAGACCAAAACTGGCTTCAAGTTAAGATATTAGTCAAGACATAAAAAAATAAGATATCTGTAGGTCAAGAGTTCTTTCATATTATTACGACGGCTTAAAGATCTGTTTTACTAAGTCTTCCTTTCGTTACGTTACAGCTTGTACCAAGGCTTTAGATGTAGGAATCATTCTCGATGGCTCGGGAAGTGTGCGCAAGTCCAACTTCAACAAAGCGAAAGAATTTGTCCAGTCGTTAATATCTCACTTCATGGTCTCCCCCAAGGCGACGCACTTTGGAATTATCACTTACAGCACGGATTCGAGGCTGGAATTTGATTTCGCTAACGCAAAATATCACGACATTGTGGAGCTAAAGAAGCGTGTGATGGAGATAAGCTACCCTGGAAGATGGACTCGGACAGACAAAGCTTTGGAAATGGCAGCTAATAAGTTGTTTACCGTTGCTGGAGGAGATCGTAACGACAAACCAAACATTTTGATTGTGTTGACTGATGGAAAGACCAATCGAGGCAGTAAGCCTTACCCTGAAGTACTGCAGCCGCTACAGGTGAGTACGTCATGTAACAGCACGAGGAAGAATTCGTTCCCAGAGCCCTCCCTCCCATCGCCCTGTTTCAGGAGACTCGGTTCCAGATTGTTGTGAGACATGATTGTCGAGAGCAGTAGCGCTGAGTCGTATTTGTACTCAATCTGGCACTTGTGCTCCGAGGGACGTGTCGCTATTAATTTGAAAATTTGTGGCATTCCATTCAGACAATCAGAAGAATATAACAGGGTTAAAAAAAAAAACAACTAGAGGGGAAAACAAGAAAGAAGTTTACTGACAATATGAGAGGTGGCGCTGAAGCCATAGAGCTTAATAATATTTGGCTTCCTTGTTACCGTATGTTGGCGTATTTACAAAGATACGTGTAGACCAATGATGCTTCTGAAATCTTATGCGTCTAAAATGCGCTTGGAATTCCCATAAAACAGACTCATTTTTCGCCTTGAAGGTATAATTCATCTGGGTTGTTGCGTCTCGCATTTTCCTAGACAATACGTCAGAGACGCATTATTTGTCTTCCCAGGTACATACGACCAGTTTCAAAGATANGAATTATCACTTACAGCACGGATTCGAGGCTGGAATTTGATTTCGCTAACGCAAAATATCACGACATTGTGGAGCTAAAGAAGCGTGTGATGGAGATAAGCTACCCTGGAAGATGGACTCGGACAGACAAAGCTTTGGAAATGGCAGCTAATAAGTTGTTTACCGTTGCTGGAGGAGATCGTAACGACAAACCAAACATTTTGATTGTGTTGACTGATGGAAAGACCAATCGAGGCAGTAAGCCTTACCCTGAAGTACTGCAGCCGCTACAGGTGAGTACGTCATGTAACAGCACGAGGAAGAATTCGTTCCCAGAGCCCTCCCTCCCATCGCCCTGTTTCAGGAGACTCGGTTCCAGATTGTTGTGAGACATGATTGTCGAGAGCTGTAGCGCTGAGTCGTATTTGTACTCAATCTGGCACTTGTGCTCCGATGGACGTGTCGCTATTAAGTTGAAAATTTGTAGTATTCCATACAGACAATCAGAAGAATATAACAGGGTTAAAAAAAAACATTTTGTGTTTTTTAACCACACAAAGCTAGAGGGGAAAAAAAGAAAGAAGTTTACAGTATGAGAGGTGGCGCTGAAGCCATAGAGCTTAATAATATTTGGCTTCTTTGTTACCGTATGTTGGCGTATTTACAAAGATACATGTAGACCAATGATGCTTCTCAGACCTTATGCGTCTAAAATGCGCGTGGAATTCCCATAAAACAGACTCATTTTTCGCCTTGAAGGTATAATTCATCTGGGTTGTTGCGTCTCGTATTTTCCTAGACAATACGTCAGAGACGCATTATTTGTCTTCCCAGGTACATACGACCAGTTTCAAAGATAACACTGTCGCGCCTTTATTTTAATAGGAACGAGGAGTCAGGACCGTTGCAGTTGGCATTGGTTATGGAATAAACCGACAGGAGCTGCTTCAGATCGCTATGAACGACAAACAGTATGTTGTGCAGGTCCAAAACTTTGACGCCTTGAAGGACAAACTACAAACGATTTTGGATGAGTCGTGTCAAGGTGAGACGCTTGAATCGCGTTACACGAAGCAATTCTTGACCCTTGCTTTACAACGTCGTAGCGAAAGATAAAGAGAAGAGAAACAGAGTTTATCAAAAAAAAAAATGTTTTAGCCTTTCGTCATTACAAGACGAATCTTTTTTATTCTTTCTTCGGGCGCTTTCTTAAGTACGAAATACAGTAGTGCATAGCTCAAAATGTGAGCAAAAAATGGAAGCAAGTTCAAATTTCGCTGTGCGACATTTTGGAAAAAAGAAAAAACAACAACAACTTAAGTACCACAAGAAGTACTGCGTAATAGCTTTCATTGTAATACTCACAAAGTAAATTCTCATGTAGATTAGTTATCCAAAGACTTAAAAGCGCAATCCTTTGTACAGTACCTAAAACTCCACACTGACAGTAACTTTTGTTAGAATCGCCATAGCCTGAGACTAGTATTTCATTCAGATATTTTACAGTTAGCACCACCTTGTCTTGAACAGCATAACAAATATTACCACATGGCTGGAATGTTGCTCAATAGCTTTCGTTTGAACGTTTACCCAGTCCGGCTCCAGACTTTGGAGTGTGAGCCACCATATACTTAACAAATGTAAAGAAGCCTAGGCCGTGTATTACACTGTGATAAAACACGACGGGCATTTGAGAACACGAGAGAAATGTAGAAAACACGAGCCGCGGGCGAGTGTTTTCTACATTTCTCGAGTGTTCTCAAATGTTTAAAGCAGCTCGGTCTCGGTATTTTGAGCTATTTTAGTCACGAACAAAGTTACTTTTGAATTGAAGGAAACCTGAAAATAATAGTTTACTAGGATAGAAAAACGCCAAAGAGTGATATAATAATAAACCATAATGGAACAAGGATGGTTAAGGATGGAGAAGATTAACACGGATTACAAACGACGAATTTGAAAAATTGAGGCTAAACTTTTCAAGAGGCGTAAACCGCGACGAAGCATCCTAAAGGTCAATGTTTATTGAAAGGCCTTATTCACACACTTAAAAAACCACATCAGACGAATTATAGGACTTTTGACGACAACCATCATTGACTCAATGAAACTTTTATCACAGGAGTACCTCCGCCTAAACCGAGCCCTCAGTGTCGTGAAGGAGCGCTGGGTATTCAGAGCGGCGCTATTCCTGACAATGCTATCACAGTTTCCAGCCAGTGGGATGGAAACCATGGTCCAGATCGCGCGCGACTCAATATAGCTAAGGTTGGAGCAAAGACAGGCGCGTGGTCTGCGAAATACAGCGATGTAGGGCAGTGGATTCAGGTTAGTGAACAATTCTTGCCGTTATATTCCACTCTGATAAGTCTGGCCGAAGGACGAGTCGACCGTCTTGAATTTATCTGTCCGTTGATCTTCCCAGCTAATACAACGAGTAAATCCGAAGGAAAACTCCCCTTAGAAGGACAGCCGTCTTAGATTCGTGTTAGGCAAGAAAAAAAGGACAGGTTTTCTGTTATCTACCAGGAAAAACAACTGGAAATAGAAATTCAACAATGACTGCTAGGGTAGAATGATACTCATTCCAGTCTTTTACCTCTTTTTCCTCGTTTTCAATTAATTTTATTTAGAAGTGCTATTGAACATTCACGATTCTAAGACGCTGCCATCGTCCTTAAATGTATACACTTACACAGACATGGTTCTTCGGTCGAGGAAAAGTTTTCCCTAATTGTTAATCATTTGATTTTCCTACAGATTGACTTCGCTAAAATCGTCAAGATAACAAAAGTCCTTACCCAGGGAAGGAGTGACTATAATCAGTGGGTAAAGTCATACTGGATATCATACAGCCTTAATAATGGATTATACGAGGCGTACGGTCAAGGCAGTCCCATCGTAAGTACTAAATCGTCCTGAAAACGAATGGAAGATGTCAAAATTATTGTCTTACGCCTTGAGGAAGGTGCGGTGACCTTACGGTTCGTGCGCTCGTCTCTGGATCGAGCGGTCCGGGGACCCGTTTCTCGAAGGTCCCGAAAAGGTTTCGCACCAGGAAAGCCATAACAAAATCTCAAACCTTATGACTACAGAGCGGTTTTATTCACACATTCTTAATATGAACGGGGGCTTTCTTCATACAAGGAGTTTCAGGCGTATACCAATCTCGGTTTTGAGGTACAGATTATCATGGCTTTGCGGGCCCGAAAAGTTTCCGGGGCTTTCGAGAAACGGGCCCTTGGCCGAGGACATTGTGTTGTGTTCATGGGCAAGACACTTAACTGTAACAGTGCCTATCTCCACCCAAGTGTATAAATGGGTACCAGCGAAGCAGTTGTCCGTTTCGTAAACGGTCGATGCCATTTTCGCGACTATCAACGAATTTTTCTCCACTAAATAAAAAAAGAGAGAAATTTGTAAGTAACCACCCAGTATCGAACATGGAACCTCTGTTTCCTAACATCCCTCTTATACCACTACACTACCAGGTTGATCCGCCAAATCTCCGCAAAACTTAATTATAAAACGTGACTTTCTCAAATTTTAATGATAGAGTTGCCCAAGCATCAAATAAAAGCTAACCGCAAGCAAACCTGTGTGAATATGAACAGTTGAGAATTTGGTGAGTGCCTTTTACTCCATCAACAAATTATAACCAATTTCTACCTTGTCCAGGCCTAAGCAAAAGCAGATATGGCATCGTCCATTCTGACAGGCTTGGTTACCAATGATGGCGTCGACCGTTAAAAATGGCATTGACCGTTTACGAAGCGGAAATCAGCACCAGCGAATTTAATGCTGGGGGTAACCCTGCGATGGACTAGCATCCCATCCAGGGGGAAGAAGAAATATCCCTAGTCGCTTCATGATACAGAAAGCGGGTTAAGCTTCGGCCTGATTGCAGACTTTACCTTTGCCCTGTTTCCCCATTGACTCTGCTTTTCGTATTTTTGAAAATTTCAGATATTTGATGGAAACACCGACCAAAATACTGTGAAAGAAAACAAGCTGCAAGTGCCGATATACACTCGCTATTTCCGCTTACATCCCAAAACCTTTCATAACCACATTTCCATGAGACTTGAGTTACATGGCTGTCAAACAGGTGGGTTTTTGAATGAAGTATTTATTTCTCATTGAATAAACGTCAGACTTAGCAGACGTGAGTATTTACAATCAAATCCTGAATGAAAGAAAGACGAAGACGATTTAAAATCTACACAAGTTTAAAAAGGCATCGGTTCATAAGTTTTTGTATCTCCCAGTCTATCTTCTGCGTCAATTGTACCTCTGGGAATTGGAGGGAGTGAGAAGTTTTTTTGTTTTCTTCTTTTTTTTTCTCAGGCTGCGATAATCAATCATGTCTTTATGTCTTTCTCCGAAGTTCAAATATATGATGTTTCTCAAAAGTTCAAATATATGATATTTCATATATTCACTTGTAAGAGGTTGATCTTACTGAAAGCAGCATTTTCAGTCACATCAAGAAGTTAATCGTTAAAAAAAATGTATCTGTCACCCTCCTATTCCATTGCAGAGTAACATTTTCTGTGTTCTTTCTCCTGCGTGGCCTCTAAAGTTGTTTCTAATTTTTCCTTGCCTATTTTGTTTATGGTCTCAAAGTTCACCAGAGAATAGTAGGTGATAGGAAGTAAGCCAATAGGCCGCGTTTGATATTTCAGTTAAAAATATTGTCACATGGCTTGAAGGCTTTCAGAACAAAATTGCAGATTTTACCTTACCTTTTCTCCTATAAGTCCTAAAAGAGACTTGGATACAAAGGAAACACCACCAAATCCCTGTGAACCACGAAGCCATGCATTGGAATATTGATATATCGAACGTGGCTTACTATTAAGGGATGAACCGTTCTCCTATCCCAGCTTCAAAAATTATGTCATATTTTGGACGCCATCTTTCTTGCCCGCCAGGTTTTGTTCCTCCCAGTCCCCCACAGTGTATGGACGCCCTCGGTATGCAGAGCGGACGCATAAAGCCAGACGCCGTGCAAGCGTCCTCGCAGTGGGATGCAAACCACGGGCCAGACAATGCCAGGCTTCATTTCCAGAAGACAGGCTCACGAGTTGGAGGTTGGTGTGTCGCCACTAGCAACGCCAACCAGTGGATTCAAGCCAAGTTCGACGTGGTTGCTAAGGTGAGAGGCGTTGCCATGCAAGGACGAATGGACTACGACCAGTGGGTCAAGACCTACACGTTGGCGTACAGCTTTGATGGCAAGACCTGGAAAGATTACGAACTCAACGGGAAAGTTACGGTGCGTATTTTACGGTTATACAATAATACCATCATAATGATAACAGATGAGAAAAGTAGCATAAACTCAAAGCTTTGGCTGACCAGAATCCATACGTTTGAGTGAAATCGTACGACAAATGTCCTTTCTGAAACATGCAGCTATAATGTGACCACAAAGCTCTGAGAACCATAAATAAATAAACACACTTCATTTATTTATTTATTTTATTTATTGCGAACACTGGGTGTGTTTGAAGTTATAGTTTAGAATGTGGGTCAGGTAGCAGCTTTCGCAAGAGCTCACGTGAATGGCTCGATACCCTTTGATAGAACAACAGAATAAACAACAGAAACAATTTCCCTAACCCCCAAAATAATAACAGTTGCTACACAAACAAATACAATTACAAGCTTACGAGAGCTGCTAAACTTCAGTAGAATTTGGTACACAGCGCTAGAAACTCTCTGCTGTTTAGCTGTAAGAGTTTCTTGATTGTCACCCTTGTCTCAGTAACTTTCAACCTCTTTTCAGCCTACATCTGTGAAGAAATTCGACCTTGTACCTTTTCGTCGTTTTAGGCTGTTAATTGCAAATAACGTTTCGAAGTTGAATAGTCACTAAAAAAACTACAAATCATATAATCCTTTTTCAAGAGAAAATGATTCAAGAGAACGACTCTCCCATAAATAGATGAGCCTCTTCCAATTATACTTTTTTGAAATCTGTTACAAAACTGCTTAATCGTAATGCATTCGGCTACAGATCGCAACAGCATCCGATATTTTTGCCTGTTAGGGACGGACGATTATTTTTTGAGGAGGAGGAGGTGGGGTGGGCAAAAATACGGCTGATGTTAAAAAACTTTTTCCACTAGTTATTGGCCAGTAGAAAAAAATCATGCACAACCTAAAGGCGAGAAAAAATTTTATGCCCCAGAAAATTGCCCAACCTCCCAGCCCCCCTTAAAAAATCATGGACCTTCCCTTAATTGTTATACTGTAAGATAATTTAATTGGATGTTGCCAAGAACTAGTACCACCTGTCATTAAAAAAAAAATTGTCATAGGACCTTGGGAATAGTTCTCTTAGAACATCTTCTCTTGTTTTGTTTGATTTTGTTTTGTTGTTTTGTTTTTCATTCAATTTAAAGATTTTCCAAGGAAATCATGATCGCTACAGAGTGGCAACTGAAGTTATCGATCCACCAATCATCGCACAGTATGTGCGCGTTAAACCAAAGACGTGGAACGGAGCTATCTGCATGAGAATGGAGTTTTACGGATGTACTGAAGGTAAGAGAGCTCTTCCAGTTGTAACGTTTGATGGCATTCTGATCAACCGAAAAGACCAGGTTTTGTGTCAAAACCTTTCGCTCCCGAAAATCTATGTTCCACTTTTACATTGTGATGTACGGAGCATTGTGATAAATTAAGAACACCATTTTCTGGGTCAAAACGTTTCATTTCCGAAAACTGTTCTTCCTTTATTAATTTTCATGATGTTTACGACATTTTGGTCAATAAAAATACCAGGTATTTGCTCCAAAAATCGATGTTGCAACTTTATTTTGTGTTGTCTTGAGCATTTTGACGAGTAAATACCTGGTCCGGGTTGTTCGAAAGGTGGATAACGCTGTCCACCGGATAAATCACTGTCCAGCGGATAGCGTGGTTTGTTTTTTTAACACCTATCCACTGGATAGTGATTTGTCCGGTGGATAGTATTACCCACCCTTTGAACAACTAGGGTCTGGTTTCTTGTTAAAGCTTTACAGTTGCAGTGTTGTGAGAAGATTGGTTTGAACTCGACAAGTTCGCCTTTTGTACCCTCTCAATCTTCCCTTTCTTAGCTATTCTTGTTTTTATGCATGAAGTGAGTAGTTTCTTAAGAAACGGATGTGCTGCGTTAGTAGCCAAGTAAAATACATAATTGATTATCAAATTGAAGTTGATACAGATACATAAACCGCTGTAACTAATGTGGAAGAGCTGATGTTATTGTGAGAAGAAATTTGCCCTTTTTAAATAAATAAGTTTCATGGAATATACCAACTTCTTACATATCAGAAGAATTGTTTTTACGTTTTATCTCTCTGTAGACGGCGACATTTGTAACGTTCACAAACCCTGCAAGAATGGTGCCCAATGCACGAATGTTGTCGGTGGTTACCAGTGTAAGTGCCCTAATGGCTTCAAAGGAAAGAACTGTGACGAGGGTAAGTACGTTGGAAAAGCG